TCTCTCTCTCTCTCTCTCTCTCTCTCTCTCTCTCTCTCTCTCTGCATTCACAGCAAAATAAAACAAATATGTATAAATTCTTGTGTTATTGCTGTGTAAATAAAGACAATTTAAGAGAATAAAAAAGTATTTCATCACGAAAGCTCTTATTTTAATGTGTATAGTGTTAAATCAGTGTGTCAGAGAACAAACATCAGCAAAACGCAAAAAAATCATCTTCATATGTATGCTTGAGGGTTCACAGAGAAAGTAAATTGGTAAAAAAAATGTTTCTTATTTATTTACAAAGGAAAAAAAGCAGTTTGGACCAATAAAAGAGTTTAACATAAAATTTAACTAAGGTACCAATTTATGAACTAAAAAAATAAACTATTAACTGATAAAACATACCAAAGTTACTCTTCATTGTAATCTAAGAAGATAAATATTTACAATCTCAAAAACTAAACTATTGGAAAACATCAAAAATTGAATTAAAAAGTTAAACATGCCCCCCTCTGCTGACATTCAACATGATGTGACCTAATGCAGCTGTAACTTCTTGTTTCAGCTGAGCTGTTTACATTGAGGGGCTGTTTACACTGAGGGTCAGGATGACTGCAGCTGCTTCTCTAAAAGAACTGACAACTCAAAGAAAGAAAACATTAAATAATTCCAAATGATAAAATAAACTATTACAAAATGATAACTATATGTGTGCACTGTACATATTTAGCCTAATATCAAATGATMCAAAAGTGTTTGATTAAACTACATAAGTACTTAAAGTACAATAGAATAGAAATAGCCTTTATTGTCCTGCCAAGGGGAAATTCAGGTGTCACAGCCATTGATCTATATTGGTCACAGCAGCATCTGTACAGAGGTTCACACACTAGTTACTTTACAAACTATAGATAGTGCACACAAAAACAACATTAGATTAATGAAATTTGTACATATACAAAAAACAAACCCATAAGATACCAAACAGATACTAAAATAGTTACACAACCTTTATTTACTGTGTGGCTACAGGTGCTGCAGTCACATTATGCATTTACTAAAGCATTATTTACATTCTAACATCACCTCTAATCCTGACAATCTGAGCCGTCCTGTCAGTCTTTTGTCTTGAAGTGCTCTCTTCAGAGTTTGAATGAGCAACAAAACCCATTAGAACTTCTTAAGTCTGTGTCACTAGGAGGTCTATGTGAAGAAAAGGCCAGAAAGAGAACCAGTTCCTGCTGTTATCATTTTGTTGATTGCCAAATAACATTAGCAATAATGATAAAATATTATAAATGTTAAATAACCAAAACTATTCTTCAGTCTTACTTACAAAAAGTTAATCCCATGTGATCTGCTTTAAAAACTTTGTAGATAAATACACCAAATAAGGGCATAGTCGCTTGTTCCAGTGCTGCCTAGAGTGAAGAGACCCCCATCCAATATGGCGGCGCTGCGCGATGCGATTCAGTGCACCACGAGTTATCTAGTATTTATARAATATCTATGTCTTGGAAGCTCAAGAAAAAGATAAACTAAGACTAATCATCAGATTGATACAAATCTTTCACAAAAAACATGGAAAGCTTTGGTGTRTATAAAAATATTGTGTAAAAAGCGATTTCAAAAATAATCTTTGGGCTTGACTTGCAATAGCTGAAAAAAATATTTTACAAAAAAATTTGTCTGACAAAAGCACAGTGCTAACTGGTGTTAAAGAGCTGAAATGATTCATGTCACATTTGTAAATTACAGCTTGTACTGTACTGGTTTACTGTTGTAACAAGCTTTTTTTCTTAGAGCTTGTCTCTGAATTTCACAAGTTTAAAGTTCACACAAAGGTCACAGTACATGTTTGAGATAACTGTGGATAGAAAACAGACAGTTTTTTTGATGGTACAACCTGTCCTAGAAATGCAAATCACCTGCTGGAAATGAGTGACAAAGGCACCAGATCGTAGAATATACTTTAACTTTGTGGCTGTGTATTAAAGTAAATGTATAAAATTTTTTTTCATTATCCAGTCCCACCACGACTCTTTGGACTCTACTTGGGTCTACCTGGTCTCCGTGTTTTTTTTTAATATATATAACTGAGTACCGCCTGGGGGTGGGGGGGTGGGGTGTCATCAAAGTACAAACGCCTGAAAATTTCGCAAAGTTATTTTTTATCAAAGGCAAACTCAACACAGGAAAGCGCAAATGAGTAAAATAAAGTAAATGAACACTCACCATCCTCTGCTGTCCTTTCAATGTTGTGGTCAAGTTGATCCCTATTTCACTCCACCAGTTGGAGCCTGTAAATCAAGTCCATTTGGTCCAGATCAGTCTGAATTTTCAGCCAACAAATAGTAGAACGATGACAATCTGCCTGGTAAAGAATCATTGGTGAAAATGCATGGTAAAAGGCTTGAACTTACATAGCACCTTATCATGTCCACTTGAACCCCAAAACACTTTACACTTCAGACATTCACCCATGTGCACACAATGATGGCAGTAACATTGCAGACACAGCTGCCCTGGGGCACACTGACAGAGGCGGGGTTGCCATGCACTGGCACCACTGGACCCTCTGACCACCACTACATCTACAAAACAGTGTCGGTGGATGTTCATTTCCTGGCTGCCTGACCATTATGAAGGATTGCCGTTCTATCAGCACTCAGACTTTTGCCTTGAGTGAGCTGGACTGGGTCTGCAAGTGGTTTTGCTGAGGGTCGCAGGCCGGCTGTGGTTCCTGGACTTTGCTGGCCAGATGGAATTGATCTTGGAGGAAGCTGATAGCACGGCTCGGCGGAAGTGTCCACACTATTTGTCTGATTGGATTTGCCACCTTGAGATGTACCAGCAGACAATTATAACAGATGGGAAATTGTTATTGTCTGCCTGACTCTTCTGTTCCCAAAACAACTGATTACAGATTTTTCTCTCCCCTACATGGCCTTGAGCTGTTGGAATAAATTCTTCCTGGATGCTGATGTCGACTAAGGGTCTGCCCCTCACCTCCCACCTCTCACCCCCGTCTGTGATCTAGTTCCTGGAGCAAGCTGAAGGCTGCACAGTACCATCCATATTCTGAACCATGGCTGCGCTGGTTTTGGGGACTGGATTCTTCGGGCTCATTCTTCAGATATTCACACAAGTGCATTTAACATTCATGGCTTCAGCTACACGCCCCCTAAACTCACTTACTCCTCTGGCTAACAAATGTGCTCTATGCAGAGTTTTTTTTAATAAACACCATAGTGTGTCACATTGTTGATATAATATGATGTTTTGTTTTGTTTTTTCCCCTCATCTTCCCTTATATGGTTTTTAGTTTTTCTGTTAAAGGTAGCGCAACTCTGTTTGCTGCATGACTGGTTTCACCTGTTCCCCCATGTTTGCCATGTGTGTCTTCTTTTATGGGTGTTTCTTAACTGCCCCCTCCCCCTTCCCTTATTGTACAGCACCTTGTGAATATATTTCTGTGAAAGGCGTTATATAAATAAAACTTTACTTACTTTACTTACTTATCAGTAGGCAAAGCAGGTGAAGTTTCTTGCCCAAGGACACAAAGATCGAACCGGCGACCTTCCAATTCCAGTACGACTCCCCTAACCACTCCACTTATGTTATGTTACTGAAAACTAGTGGATGAAAAGCAGATAAAAAACTCTGTTGTCCAGATCACAAACAAAACTGTTGTTTCTCGGTACCTACTATGTTCCCCAGTACGCCAATCATCTTTCATGACTTTGATTATTGCCCAAGTCCTCATTGCAATGATCTCATTGGGGTTTTAACCTGGTCAAATAAAGGAAATCAAACGCATTATTAAACCCGGGAGGAGACAGGTTTGGACCCACTGGTATATGCGGTTTCAAAGAAAAGAAGACAAAGACAAACTCAAAATTTCCCACGCCATTTACTCCACGTCACCTCTACTGTCACACCGCTCCATCTCAGTTGTTGTGTGCTTGGGTGAGACCCTTCGTCCGCCATGACTGTGGTGGTCAGAGGGCTTGGTGGCGCCGGTGCATGGCAGCCTCGCCTCTGTCAGTCTGACCCAGGGAAGATGTGGCTACAATGTTTCTGACCACCATCAGTGTTTGAATGTGTGAATGACTGTAGTGTGAAGTGCTTTGGAGCCCTTGGGGCTTGAGAAAGGCCATTTACCATTTATTACTAATGCAGAGGTGTTGGGTAGTCGTTAATTAGTCAATACTCCAGCCAAAGTTGCAACCGTGACCTACAACCACCACGACACATCTCAAACCTTCAGTCCTTATTCCCAACCCTGGTCCTCGAGGCCCACCATTCTGCATGTTTTAGATACCAAAAGGCGTTCCTGGTCCCTACCTGTTGTTTTGCTCCTCAGCATGGCTGCCTAAAAATGCTGCAGGATTTCTCAAACATGCATGAATGGGTCAGAGCAAGGCTTTGGACATGCTTTTTATGACAGTATAACATTATAACATGAAATTAAATTTTAAAAAGTTGATTTTACATGATATTGCCCCTTTAAGGCTTAATCTGCCGTAACAGACCCCCGTAATGGCCCATTGAATGGTTTGTTTGTATGTTATAGTTTCAATTATTTCCATATTTCTTTATAAGCATATTTTATTACTCGATAAATAAAATCTCACTCTTGACTTTACTTTTTCAGATTCAACAAACATTTAAAAGTCTCTAAAAGTTGTAGCCGTATTTTAATCTCTTTAATCTGTTCTACGTTTTAAAAAAACATTCTGTTAAAGCATGTCCTTGCAGAGCTTAAACTGAAAAAAATCTATGAAAAATAAAAATAAAAACCAAGGGTCACAGCTGAAATAACTTTTTTTTCTTTTTTTTATGTCTAAGCATCTCCTGCTGATGTACAAAAACATTCCTCAAAACTAAGAACTGGGACACAACGAGAATATCTGAATCACAGATGCTCAGATGTGAAATTAAAATATTTACATTAAAACATAAATTTCAGGATTTATGAAAACTTGCATCATTTGTTCTGTTTTGTAATATTTTTTCAGCATATACTTGTTGGAAGAAAAAAGGGACAGACAGGAGGAGCAAAGGTCACAGCTGTTTTAGGTTTTAGTTGAATATTGATCAGCATCTTTTGCAACATAAGTCAATCTCTCACTCATTGCTCTTCTGCTTTCCTTTTTGTTTAACTATAAACCAGCAAACGAGTCACTGGATCTGAGAACCAATCATATATAACCATAAAAGCCAAAGAAAATAAAATTCTATGTTGACCTCAGCTGTATGCATGTGATTCTATCTCCCTCTTACACACACACACACACACACACACACACACAC